TGAGCCCCACCGATCTATAGGGTCCGTGCCCTCAAACCTGCCCCTATGTGGGGGAAATAGCCTCGCTTTGTGCCCTCTATAGGGGCCTTACCCTTAGCCCCGCCCACCTATAGGGCCTGTGCCCTTAGCCCCGCCCATCTATAGGGCCTTTGGCCTCACCCCCGCCCCTCTATGGGGCCTATGGCGTTAGCCCCGCCCATCCGTAGGGCCCGACTGCCTGGCCGCGCTCCCGCTCACAAGATGGCGGCCGCGCGCAAGGCACGCCGGGAAGTGGAGTTCTTTACGGCGTCTCCCCGTAGGGTAGAACGGAACGTGGAATGCAACTCCCGGCGTGCACCGCGGGCGAGCCGCCGCTGGAGGAGCCACAAGATGGCGGCCGCGCGCGGGGCACCCTGGGAGTTGTAGTCCGACTCCCCTTGGCGGTCAACGGGGAGGGGCGCATAAAGAACTGCGTTTCCCGGCGTGCGTTGCGCGGCAAGGAGGGGGCCCGCGCATGCGCCCTGCGCGCGGCAGGGCAGTCCGGCTTGTCGGCCGGAAGAGGAGGCGGCGTCGCGTGGCGTCGCTCCGCGTTCCGGTTGTTCGGGCCTCGGCCGCCGCGGACGGAGCTCGTTGGGCCCCATCGGAGCCGGTGAAGGCCCCGGAGCGGGCGTTGAGGACCGTTAACGAGCGGTAAGGACCGTTAAAGACCGTTAGTGGCCGTTGGATGGGGTGGGGGATGCGGGTTCCTGAGGGGAAATGGCGGGGTCTGAGGGGGGAAAAGGCGTCTGAGGGGGGGAAATGGGGGTTTGGAGGGAAAAAAAAAGGGGGGTTTGGGGAAAAGGGGATTGGGAAATAGGGGTTTTGGGAGGGAAAAATGGGATCGAGGGGGGTTTGAGGGGAAAAGGGGGGGGTGGGGAAAAAGGGGGTTTTGAGAGGGGAAAAGTGGGAAGTATGAGGGGGGAAATGGGAGATTTGGCGGTTTCCTGAGGGGAAAAAAAAAGGACTTTTTGAGGATAAAAAGGGACTTTTTGAGGGAAAAAGTGTGTTTGGGTGAAGAAAAGTGGGGTTTATGGTGGGAAGTGTGGGATCGGTGAGGAAACTGGCGTTTACGCGGGGAAGAAGTGGGATTTGTGAGGGGAAAAGTGGGATTTGTGAGGGAAAAAGTGGGGTTTATGGGGGAAAAATTGGGATTTGTGAGGGAAAAAGGGGTGGTAGAAAAGTATTTGTGGGGGAAAAAGTGGGATTTGTGAGGGAAAAAGTGGGATTTGTGAGGGAAAAAGTGGGATTTGTGAGGGGAAAAGTGGGATTTGTGAGGGAAAAAAGTGGTATTTGTGAGGGAAAAAGTGGGATTTGTGAGGGAAAAAGTGGGATTTGTGAGGGGAAAAGTGGGATTTGTGAGGGAAAAAGTGGTATTTGTGAGGGAAAAAGTGGGATTTGTGAGGGGAAAGTGGGATTTGTGAGGGGAAAAGTGGGATTTGTGAGGGAAAATGGGATTTGTGAGGGAAAATGTGGGATTTGTGAGGGAAAATGTGGATTTGTGAGGGAAAATGTGGGTTTATGGGGGGAAAAGTGGGATTTAGGGGGAAAAGTGGATTTGTGAGGGAAAAAGTGGGATTAATGAGGAAAAAGTGGGATTTGTGAGGGAAAAAGTGGGGTTTATGGGGGAAAAAGTGGGTTTGTGAGGGAAAAAGTGGGATTTGTGAGGGAAAAAAGTGGGATTTGTGAGGGAAAAATGGGGATTTGTGAAGAAAAAGTGGGATTTATGCGGGGAAAAGTGGGATTTGTGATGGAAAAAGTGGGATTTATGAGGGATAAAGTGGGATTTTTGAGGGAAAAAGCAGGATTTGTGAGGGAAAAAGCGGAATTTGTGAGGGGAAAATGGGATTTATGAAGAAACAGTGGGATTTGTGAGGAAAAAGTGGGATTTTGTGAGGAAAAGGGGGGTTTTGTGAGGGGAAAATGGGGGTTTTGTGAGGGAAAATGTGGGGTTTATGGGGAAAATTGGGATTTAGCCGGGAAAAAGTGGGATTTGTGAGGGGAAAATGTGGGTTTTGTGAGGAAAATGTGTTGGGGGGGAAATTGGGATTTAGGAGGGAAAAGTGATTATTTGTGAGGGAAAAGTGGGATTAATGAGGGAAAATGTGGGATTTCTGAGGGAAAGTGGGATTTGTGAGGGGTGGATTTATGAGGAAAATGTGGGGTTATGGGGGAAAATGTGGATTTAAGAGGGAAAAGTGGTATTTGTGAGGGAAAAAGTGGTATTTGTGGGGAAAGTGGATTTGTGAGGGTAAAAGTGGGACTTACGAGGGAAAAAGTGGAATTTGTGAGGGAATAATTGGAATTTGTGACGGAAAAATTGGGATTTGTGAGAAACAGTGGGATTTATGAGGGGAGAGAGTGGGATTTGTGAGGAAAAAGTGGGATTTATGAGGGAAAAAGTGGGATTTTTGAGGGAAAAAAGTGGAATTTGTTACGGGAAAATTGCAATTTTTGAGGGAAGAAGTGGATTTGTTGAGGGGAAAAGTTGGATTTCTGAAGGAAAAAAGTGGGATTTCTGAGGGAAAAGTGGGATTTCTGAGGGAAAAGTGGGATTTATGGAGGAGAAAGTGGGATTTGTGAGGGGGAAATTGGGATTTATGAGGGGAAAATTAAGATTTGTGAGGGGAAAAGTGGGATTTGTGAGGGGAAAAGTGGGATTTTTGACGGGAAAAAGTGGGATTTGTGAGGGAAAAAGTGGGATTTGTGAGGGAGAAGTGGAATTTATGAAGGGAAACGTGGGATTTGTGAGGGAAAAAAGTGGGATTTCTGAAGGAAAAATTGGGGTTTATGGAGGAGAAAGGGGGATTTGTGAGGGAAAAAGTGGCATTTGTGAGGGAAGGGTGGGATTTATGGAGGAGAAAGTGGGATTTTTGAGGGAAAAAATGGGATTTTTGAGGGAAAATTGGGATTTTTGAGGGAAAAAGTGGCATTTGTGAGGGGAAAAGTGGGGTTTATGAGGGGAAAATGGGATTTGTGAGGGAAAAAGTGGGATTTGTGAGGGAAAAGTGGGATTTGTGAGGGAAAAAGTGGGATTTGTGAGGGAAAAAGTGGGATTTGTGAGGGAAAAAGTGGGATATATGAGGGAAAAGTGGGATTTGTGAGGGAAAAAGTGGGATTTATGCAGGAAAAAGTGGGATTTGTGAGGGAAAAATGGGATTTGTGATGGAAAAAGTGGGATTTATGCGGGGAAAAGTGGGATTTATGCGGGAAAAATTGGGATTTGTGAGGGAAAAATGGGATTTCTGAGGGGAAAAAGTGGGATTTGTGAGGGAAAAATGGGATTTATGAAGGAAAAAAGTGGGATTTATGAAGGAAAAAAGTGGGATTTGTGAGGGAAAAGTGGGATTTATGAATGAAAAAGTGGGATTTCTGAGGGAAAATGGGATTTGTGAGGGGAAAAAGTGGGATTTATGGTGGAAAAAGTTGGATTTGTGTGGGAAAAAGTGGAATTTGTGAAGAAAGAAGGAATTTATGAGTTGAAAAGTGGGATTTCTGAGGGGAAAAGTAGGATTTATGAAGGAAAAATTGGGATTTGTGAGGGGAAAAAATGGGATTTATGAGGGAAAAGTGGGATTTATCAGGGAAAAAGTGGGATTTGTGAGGGGAAAAGTGGGAGTTATGAAGGAAAAAGTGGGAGTTATGAGGGAAAAACGGGATTTATGAGGGAAAAGTGGGATTTATGAGGGAAAAGTGGGATTTGTGAGGGAAAAGTGGGATTTAATAGAGGAAAACCCTGGTTTTAGGAGGGAAAAACAATGTGTTTGAGGCAAAAAGATGAATTTTGGGGGGAGGACAAAAACGGGGGTTTAGGAAGTGAAAAGAGGGATTTAGGAGGAGAAAGAGGGGTTTTTTGTTAAAAAAGAGGGGGTTTGGGGAAGAAAAACGGGATTTAGGAAGGAAAACGGGGAACATTGTTGAGGGCACGGGGGGTATAGAGGGGGTGAATAGAGGTGGAGTGTAGGGCATGAATGGGGGGTGTAGAGGGGGGTATAAAGAGAAGTATAGAAGGGGTGCATGGAGAGGGCTATGGGGCTGTAAAGAGGGGTATAGGGGGGAGCATGAAAGGGTATAGGAGATGGATAGAGAAAGTGTAAAAGGGGATATAGAGAGGGCGAATGAAGGGGGATATGAAAGGGGGTATAGAGAGGGTGAGTAAAGGGGGGTATATAGGGGGTGTAGAAAAGGGGGCTGGAGAGGGTGCATAGGTGGGTATAGAGGGGGTAAAAGGGGTGCGTAGAGGGGGGTATAAAGAGTGGTGTAGAGGGGAATATAAAGGGATTGTGGAAGGGGTGCATAGAGGGGAGTATAAAGGGGGGTATAGAGAGGGGTAAAAGGGGTGCATAGAGATGGGTATGAAAGGGGATATAAAGGGGCGTATAAAGAGGGTATAGGGGGGATATAAAGGGAGTATGGAAGGGGTGCATAGAGGGGAGTATAAAGGGGGGTATAGAGAGGGGTAAAAGGGGTGCATAGAGATGGGTATGAAAGGGGATATAAAGGGGCGTATAAAGAGGGTATAGGGGGGATATAAAGGGAGTATGGAAGGGGTGCATAGAGGGGAATATAAAGGGGGGTATAGAATGTGGTAAGAGGGGTGCATAGAGGGGGGTATAAAGGTGTAGAGGGAGGTAAAAGGGCTTCGTAGAGGGATATAAAGGGGGGGTATAGGAGGGATATAGAGGGAGTATGGAAGGGGAGCATAGAGGGGAGTATAAAGGGGGGGTATAGGAGGGATATAGAGGGAGTATGGAAGGGGAGCATAGAGGGGAGTATAAAGGGGGCATATAGAGAGGAGTAAAAGGGGTGCATAGAAGGGGGCATAAAGGGAGTATAGACGGGGGTACAGAGAGGGGATCTAAAGCAGGGGTTTCATGAGGGTTATAGAGGGGGGTATGACAGGGGGTTTAGGGGGGGGATAAGGGGGGTACAGAGGGTGCGCACAGAGGGGGGCGGGGGGGTCCCTGACGCGCCCCCCTGCAGGCCCTTGGCGCGGCGCCCGCCATGTACAATGGGATCGGGCTGCCCACGCCGCGGGGCAGCGGCACCAACGGCTACGTCCCAGCGCAACCTCTCGGCCCTGCGGCACAAGAAGGGGGGCGGCGGCGCCGAGCCCCCCCCCGGCGAGGAGGAGCTGCGCAGGCTGGAGGCCGGGCTGGCCAAGAGGCCCAACCCCCGACATCCTGGACCACCAGCGCAAGAGGAAGGTGGAGCTGAAATGCCTGGAGCTGACCGAGCTCATGGAGGAGCAGGGGTGAGCATGGCTCCGAGAGCCTGTAGACGCCTATGGGAGCCCGCCCTATAGATACCTATGGGAGGGAGTCCTATAGACACCTATGGGAGCCCTATGGACACCTGTGGGAGCCCCTAAATACAGCTCTGTGAGGCCCTAAACACCCCTAAATACAGCTCTGAAATGCCTGGAGCTGACCGAGCTCATGGAGCAGCAGGGGTGAGCATGGCTCCGGGAGCCCTGTGGATACCTATGGGAGCCCTATGGACACCTATGGGAGCCGTATAGGCATTAATGGGACCCCCTGAACACCCCTAAATACAGCTCTGAATTGCCTGGAGCTGTCCAAGCTCATGGAGGAGCAGGGGTGAGCAGCGGGGACCCCTATGGACAGCTATGGGAGCCCTATAGACACCTGTGGGACCTCCATGTACTCCTATGGGACCCCCAAAACGTCCCTAGAACCCTCAAAATACATCTCTGAACCCCCCATGTACACCTATGGGAACCCCATAACACAGCTCTGAGTCACCAAAACTGCCCGTTTATGCCCCGAAACATATCTCTGAGACCCAGAACTCACCTCTTGAGTCCCCAAACCCTCCCTTTTGGACCCCAAAATGCACCTCTGCGACGCCCGAAATACCCCAAAGCCCCTCTCTGAGCCCCCGAATCTCCGCCCCCCCCCCCCCCCCCCCCCCCAGTACCCCCCAGCTCCCATTTGGAACCCCCAAACACCCCCCTTGCAACCCCGTAACACCCCCTTTGTGCCCCCAAACCCCCTTCCCACCCCTAAAACCCCCTTTTCTCTCAATCACCCCCTTTTTGCCCCCCCCCCCCCCAGCTACGCCGAGGGCGAGATCCAGGAGAAGGTGGCCACGTTCCGCATGATGCTGCTGGAGAAGGACGTGGCTTTGGGGGAACCCGAGCAGAAACCAACGTGAGCCCTCCCGAACTCCCCCTTACCCCCCCCCAGACCCCATAAACACCCCATTAACCCCCCCCACTTTATAGGGTGACAGAGACCCATCAGCTGGCTGAGGCCAACGAGAAGAAGAACGAGCGGCTCCGGGCGGCCTTCGGCATCAGTGACACCTATGTGGACGGCAGCTCCTTCGACCCCAGCCGCCGCGCCAAGGAGGCCCCCCCCGAGCCCCCCAACCCGGCCCCGTGAGCACTGGGGGGGAGTCACGGGGTTTGGGGGCTGGCGGTGGGGGGATTTGGGGCAGCAAAGAGGGGGGATGGGGTTCAGTAGGGTTTGGAAAGGGATTTGTGGGCTCAGGGGAATTGGGGGGGGTTGGGGTTCAGAAGGGTTTGGAAGGGGATTTGGGGGATCAGGGGGTTGGATTGAGGGGACTTTAGGGGGGTTTTGGGGCAGAGGGTGGGTTTGGGGGGCTTTATGGGCGTTTGGGGGTTCAGAAGGTGGTTTTGCAGGGGGTTAAGCGAGTTTTGGAGTCTGGAGTATGGGCTTTAGGGGAGATACGGGGGATTTTGGGGTACAGAAGAGTGAGGGGGCACAAGGTGGGTTTTGGGGGCTTTAGGGGGGCGTTGGTTTTCAGAGAGTGGTTTGGGGGATTTAACCCCCGTAAACCCCCTTTGGAGTCTAAAGTATGGCGTTTAGGGGAGATATGGGGGTGTGTTGGGGTACACTGGGGGGTTTTGGGTGTCACTTTCTGCTGGGGGGCGTCCCCAAACCCCCCCTGACCCCCACTGGTGCTGTGCCTCCCCCCCCCCAGTGCTGTGAGGGACTCATCCAGCTCCCGCTCGCCCTCACCTAAGCAGAAGAAGAAGAAGAAGAAGAAGGATCGGGGCAGGTCAGGGGGGTTATTATGGGGTGTAGGAGTCTGTTAAGAGATGCAGGTGCTTATTATGGCACGCAGGGTGGGTTATTACGGGTTGCAAGGTGGGGTCTCATCGTTATCACCCCCTCTCCAGGTCTGCCAGTCGCTCTGGGGAGAGGAAGAAGAGCTCCAAGAAGAAGAAGCACAGGTGGGGTGCAGAGCCTCTATGGGGCAGAGCCGCTATGGGGCAGGGTTGCTACGGGGCAGCCCCTCATTTACCCCATGACCCCCCCCCCCCTTTTCCCATTCCTAGGTCTGAATCGGAGGCCAAGAAGCGGAAGCACCGGTGAGGGGGGGGTTCATATGGGATTTAGGGAATCTGGGGGGGGGGGGGGGGGGCTATGGGGAGTGGGAAATTGGCTTTGGGGGTGCTGTGGTAATGTCACTGATGGTGTCAATATCCCCCTCCCAGCTCTCCCAGCCCCAAAAGCAAGCACAAGGCCAAAGAGAAGAAGCGGAAGAGGTGAGAGTTGTGTACCCCCCCCCAAAACCCCAAGCTCCCCATTGACCCTACATTGACCCCGAACAACGGGTCCCTCCCAGATCCACCTTGTGACCCCTACCCACTTTATCCTCCACCTTGTCCACCCCATATCCTCTTTGTGTGCCCCCACTGACCCCATGAACCCCACTGTAACCCCCAACCCCCCATTTACCCCGCTTTCCCCCCCCACCCCCCCTTTGTGCCCCTCCCTGCCCCCCAACCCCCCATTTTACCCTCCCACCTTGCCCCCCCCTCCAACTTGTGGGCCCTCCCTCCCCCGTTTCCCCCCCCCCACTGACCCCCCCGCTGCCCCCCCCAGATCCACCAGCGAATCGGCCTCTCAGAAGAGCCGCCGCGAGGGCCCCTCTTCCTCCCCTGCTGCCTCCTCCTCCTCCTCCGCCTCCTCCCGCAGCCGGTAAGTCCCAATCCCTCCCTTCTCTATACCCCGCCCCCGCCCCCCCACCTTGTTACCCCCCCCCCACCTTACCCCCCCCCGCACCCCCCCGCAGGTCCCGCAGCGTCACCGCCGCCACCCACCAAGACACCGAAGAGCCGGGGCCGGTCCCAGCCCCGGCACCGGCACCACCGGGCCCGGCCCCTGCACCGGAGGTGAGCCCCGGGGGGGCGCGGCGGGACCGTGTGCGTGGGGGGGGCCCCCCTTCCTCTCTGTACCCGCCCCCATTGACCCCCCCCCGCCTTCTCTGTGTTTGCCATAGGAGCTGCCAGCGCCGTCGCTCGCCCCCGATGTCCCCATCGAGGAGCCCCAGGCACCGGCGCCGGTTGTGAGCCCCCCCCCCGGCGGCACCGGCAGCGACCCCCCCATCACCAACACCAGCACCAACCGCAGCCCCCGCAGCCGCAACCGAACCAACACCAACGGCACCCACACCAACCGCAACCGCCCCCCCCCAGCCGCCCCCCGCCGCCTCCCCAACCCCGTCCCCGCCCCCAGTTATCCCCCAGCGCCGCGCCCCCCCGTCCCCCTCCCCCTCTCCATCCCCCCCCCCCCGCCGCGCCAAGAGCCCCCCCTCGGCCGTGACGTCATCGCGCCGTGACCGCTCCCTGACCCCCCCCGCGCCGCCACCCCCTTCCTCCTCCTCCTCCTCCAAGCGCTCCCGCGCCCGCCGTTCCCGCTCCCGCTCCCGACGCCGCTCCCGCACCCCCCCCTCGCGCTCCTCCCGCCGCCGATCCCGCTCCCGCCGCCGCTCCCGCACCCCCCCTTCCTCCCGCTCCTCCCGCCGCCGCCGCTCCCGCTCCTCCCGCCGCCGCCGCTCCCGCTCCCGCACCCCGCTCTGGCGCCCCAACTCCACCAGCCCCATCCGCTGGCCCCTGCCGCGCTCCCGATCCCGCTCCCCGGCCCCGCGACGCCGCTCCCGCTCCCCCCGCGCCTGGTCCCGCTCCCGATGGGCCCGCTCCCGCTCCCGACGCCGCTCCCGCTCCGGCACGCGCCGACGCTCCCGCTCCCGACGCCGCTCCACCTCCCGCAGCCGCTCCGGTTCCTCCCCCCTGCCCCGGCGACGCCGCCGCCGCCGCTCCCGCTCCGATTCCTCCGGCAGGTCCCGGCGCGGGCGCTCCCCGTCCACCCCGCCCCGCGGCATCAAGCGGGCCCGCGCCGCCTCCCGCTCCCCATCCCGGCAGCGCCGCCGCCGCAGCTCCACGCGCTCCCCCCGGCTCCGGCACCCACTTCCCAGCCCCAGGCCACCACCGCCGTGTCCCCCCCCAAACCCAAGCCCCCCTCCCCGGCGCCCCCCCCCGCGCGCCCCAAGTGGGTGCCCATCGCCGAGCTGCACCCGGCAGCACCGCAGCCCCCTCCCGGCTTAGCCAAGGCAGCCACCGCTCCCCCCGCAGCCCCACAAGCAGGGGAGGCCAAAGCGGCTGCACCCAAGTGGGTGCCTATCGGGGGGGGCCCTGCGCAGCCGGCACCCCCCGGCACCGAGGGAGGGGGCAGTGAGGTGCAAGGCGAAGGGAAGCCGCAGCCGGAGGCAAAAGCAGGCACCGGCGACACCAAACCGGCTCCAGTGGCAGCAGCGCAGCCCAGCCCCAAGGCGACCCCTGCAGCAGCGGCGCCAGTGACCCCCCCCAAGGCTGCAGAGACCAAAGGCACCCCCGAGGCCAAAGCAGCCACGCCGGTGACCCCGGTCTCCCCAGCTCTACCCAAGGCCATGCCCGTAGTGGCACCGGTGAGCACCCCGAAGCCCGAAGCGAAGCCCGTAGCACCCAAAGCGGCGCCGAGCCCCGCAGCACCGGCCGTCACCCGGGCACCGCCACCACCGCCGCCACCACCGAGCACCCTCAAGCCAACGGCCACCCCCAAGCTGTCTCCTGGTACCCCCAACAAGCTGGGGACACCCCCGCCGCCCCCACCGGGCTTACCCAGGGCCCTGACGGCCAAGCTGCTGCCGGCGGCGCGCCTGGGGCTGCCCTCGTCACCAGTGGCGGCATCGGCGCTGCCACCCCCCCACGGGCACCGGCTCCTGGCTGGGCACAAGGTGATGGCAATGGCTCCCGCCGGTGGCACCATGGGCATCAATGGTGGGGGCACTGTCGCGGCGGCTGTTAAAGCCACTGTGGACACTGGCACCGGCACCAAGGCCACCGCTACGGACGCCGGGGCCGCCAAGGGCACCGTGGACAGCAGCACCGGCATCACCACCCCTAAGGCTGCTGTGGACACCATGAGCAGTGGCAGCGCCATTGGAGCCGCCTCCAAGGCCACCGTGGACAGCGGCACCGGCGTCACCGTCACCAAGGCCACTTGCAGTGCCGTCACGGCCACCGCCATGGCCACCAACAGTGTCACAGCCGCCAGCTCCAGCGCCACCACCAAGGCCGCTGCCGACGCCATCACCAGCGTCACCACCATGGATGTCGCCAGTGTCACCACCACCAAGGCCACCGCTGTGGCTACCGCTATGGCTGCCAGTGCCAGTGCCACCACCGTGGGCACCACCGCTGTGGCCACCTCCAAGGCCACCATGGATGCTGTCACCGGGGTCACCACCGCCGCGGCTGCCAGCGCCAGTGCAACCACCAAGGCCACCATGGATGCGGGCATCGGTGTTACCGTGGCCACCGCCGTGGGCCCTGCAACCACCAAGGCCCCTGGTGGCCCCACGGGTGCCAGCACCACCGCGGTCGCTAGTGCCACCACCACGGCCACCAAAGGCTCTGTCACCATCACCACTGTGGATGGGGGCATCAGGTGCGCGGCTGTCAGCCCCAGTGCCACCAGTGCCGCCTGCGGCACCGTCACCACCATGGCCAGCAGCGTCACCAGTGCAAGCAGTGTCTTCAGTGGTCCCAGCGTCACCAGTGTGCTGAGCCGTCTCTCTGCAACCAGCGCCACCAGTACGACCAGTGTGCTCACCAGTCCCGGTGTCACCAGTACGACCAGCGCAACCAGCGTCACCATTGCTTCTAAGGATACCAGTGTCACCAGTGTCTTGAGTCGTCCCAGTGCGACCAGTATGACCACTGTGATCACCAGTCCTGGTGTCACCACTATGACCAGTGTCACCAGTGCAACCAGTGCTCCCAGTGTCTTCAGTGCGACCAGCATCACCAGTGTCCTGAGCCGTCCCAGCGTGACCAGTGTGCCTGCCAGTCCCAGTACCAGTGTCCTCGGTGCGACCAGTGCTCCCAGTGTCACCAGTGTCCTGAGCCGTCTCAGTGGGACAAGTGTCACCAGCGTGACCGCTATGACCAGTGCAACCAGTGTCACCGTTGCTTCTAAGGATATCAGTGCCACCAGTGCGCCCACAGGTCCCAGTGTCACCAGTGTCCTGAGCCGTCCCAGCACGACCAGTATGACCAGTGTGCCCACTGCTCCCAGTGTCACCATTACTCCTAAGGATGCCAGCGTCACCAGTGTCACCAGTGTCCTGAGCCATCCCAGTGTGACCAGTCTGACCAGTATGCCCTCTAGTCCCAGTGTCACCAGTGTCCTGAGCCGTCCCAGTGTCACCAGTGCTCCCAGCGTCACCAGTGTCCTCAGTGCAACCAACGCTCCCAGTGTCACCAGTGTCCTGAGCCGTCACACTGCCTCCAGTGTCACCAGTGCAACCAGTATCCTCAGTTGTCCCAGTGTCACCAGTGTGCTGAGCCGCCTCACCGCAACCAGCGTCGCCAGTGTGACCAGTGTTCTTACTGGTCCCAGTGTCACCAGTGTCCTGAGCCGTCTCACCGCAACCAGTGTCACCAGTGCGACCAGTATGACCAGTGTCCTTGGGGGTCCCAGTGTCACCAGTGTCCTGAGCCGTCCCAGTGCGATCAGTATGACCAGTGTGCCCACTGGTCCCAGCGTCACCAGTGTCCTGAGCCGTCCCAGTGTCACCAGTGCGACCGGTATGACCAGCGTAGCACCAGTCCCAGTGTCACCAGTGTCCTGAGCCATCTGAGTGCGACCAGTCTGACCAGTGCAACCAGTGTCGCCGCTGTGCTGAGCCGTCCCGGTGTCACCGGTATGACCAGTGCCACCACTGGCATCAGCGTGACCAGTGCCACCAGTGGCCTCAGTGCTCCCAGCGTGACCAGTGCTGGTGCCGCCATCACCACCAATGTAACCAGTCCTGGGCGTGTTGCCATCTCTCCCAGTGCGACCAGTATGAGCAGCCCTCCCAGTGCTGGTGCCACCATCGCCACCAGTGTGACCAGTCCTGGACATGTCCCCACTGCTCCCAGTGCGACCAGTGTCTCCAGCGCTCCCAGTAGCACCAGTGCTGCATGCGTCCCCATTGCCACCAGAGCTCCGAGGGACACCAGTGCAACCAGTGTCACGAGTGCCACCATCGTGTCCATGGACACCAGGACCACCAGTGCTCCCAGTGGCACCAGTGTGAGCAGTATCACCATTGCTCCGAAGGATGCCGGTGCTCCCAGTGTCACCATCGTTCCTAAGGATGCCGGTGCTCCCAGTGTCACTGTCGTTCCTAAGGATGCCGGTGCTCCCAGTGTCACCAGTGCTCCCGGTGTCAGCAGTGCTCCTGGTGTCAGCAGTGCTCCTAAGGATACCAGTGGCACCAGCCTGACCAGTGCTCCCAGTATCACTGTTGCTCCTAAGGATACCAGTGCTCCCAGTATCGCCAGTGCTCCCAGCGTAACCATTGTTCTTAAGGATGCCGGTGCTCCCAGTGGCACCATTGCTCCCAGTATCACTATTGCTCCTAAGGATACCGGTGCTCCCAGTGGCACCATTGCTCCCAGTATCACTGTTGCTCCTAAGGATACCATTGCTCCCAGTATCACTGTTGCTCCTAAGGATACCAGTGCTCCCGGTGGCACCATTGCTCCCAGTATCGCTGTTGCTCCTAAGGATACCAGTGCTCCCGGTGGCACCATTGCTCCCAGTATCGCTGTTGCTCCTAAGGATACCAGTGCTCCCGGTGGCACCAGTCCGACCGGCGCTCCCAGTGCCACCCTCGGCATCGCTCCCAGCATCACCAGGGCCGCCGCGGACACCACAGCCCCTGGCGTCACCGTCGCCGCTCCGGACACCAGCGCTCCCAGTGCCGACAGCGTCCCTATGGAGACGGCCCCTGACGTCACGGCCGCGCCGAAGGGCGGCTCCTCCTCCTCGTCGTCCTCGTCCTCCTCCTCGTCGTCCTCTTCCTCCTCCTCCTCCTCCTCCTCGTCCTCCTCCGACTCCGACTCCAGCTCCAGCTCCTCCGAGTCCGGGCCCCCCTCGCCGGCACCGCCTGGCCCCGCCCCTGACGGGTAAGACACGCCCCTTCCCTCCCATATAAGGGCAAGTCGCGCCCTCTGCATAGATCTCCTAAAGCCACGCCCCCTCCGCCGGGCCACGCCCCTTTGTCCCCAGGGTGCCCCCAACCCCAGTTTGTGCCTCATAGCGCTCACTTACGGGGCTCACCTGTACCCATGGGTGCCCCCATCTCCACGCCATGTATCCATGGGTGCCCCCACCCCGGTCTGCGCCCCATAGGGCTCCCTCATGGGGCTCCCCTGAGCCCAGGGTGCGCCCCATCCCGGTTTGCGCCCCATAGGTCTCCCTTATGGGATCCCCTGTCCCCATGGCTACCCCCATCCCCACCCCGTGTCCCTATGGGTGCCATTGCCCCCCTCCACGTCCCCTTAGGCCCTCACTGGGGTCCCTCACCCCCCCGTTCTGCCCCCCACAGGTCCCCCAGTGCCACCACCACCACCACGGCCACAGAAGGGCCGGCCCCGGCAGCCCCGGCACCCCCGGACCCGGCAGCCCCGGTGACCCCGGCCCCAGCCCCGGAGCCCGTGGCGGCGGTAGCAGCAGCAGCGGCGGCGGCAGCAGCGCCGCCATCGGCGGAGACCCGGGAGGGCCGTGCCGCCACCGTCACCCGCCGCAAGCGGCGCCGCTCTTCCTCCTCCTCCTCCTCGTCCTCCTCCTCCTCCTCTTCCTCCTCGTCCTCCTCCTCCTCCTCCTCTTCCTCTTCCTCCTCCTCCTCCTCTTCCTCCTCCTCCTCCTCCTCTTCCTCCTCTTCCTCCTCTTCCTCCTCCTCCTCTTCTTCCTCCTCCTCCTCCTCCTCGGCCCCTCCCGCCGCCGCTCCCGCTGCCGCCCCCCCCCAACCCTCCTCTTCCTCCCCGCCCCCCCCGGACCCCCCCGACCCCGCCAGCGCCCCCGCAGCGACCCCCACCCCCTCCAAGTCCCCCCCTCCCCCCACCTCCTCTGCCCCCCCTGCTTCCACTTCCACCTCCACCCCCTCCACCCCCACCCCCACCCCCACCACCTCCTCTTCCTCCACCTCGGAGCCCCGCCCCCCCCTCCTCTCCCTGGTTCCCGCCAAAACAGGGAGCGCGGCCACGGCGGCCACGCCCCTCGCTCGCCCCCCCGGCTCCCTCCTCGCCCTCCCCACCGCCCCCTCATTGGCCCGCGGCATCGCCGGGGGCGGGGCCCGGCCCTCGCCCCGCCCCTTGGCCCCCCCCGGGCTCCCTCCTCAGCCTCACCCCGACCCGGGCCGGGGGTGGGGGGGGGGCGGCGGGGGGGGGGGCTGACCCCGAGGGGCCCCTTCCCCCTGCTGGGCGCGGGGGGGGGGCGGCAGAGCAGGGGGCGGGGCTTTCCCGCGCCCGGCCACTCCCTTTTTGGCCACTCCCCCCGGCCGGGCGGGAGGGGGCGGGGCTTACCCGCGGAGCCCCGCCTCCTCCTCCTCCCCTTTCCTGCGCGGGGGGGCCGGTGGGGTGTGCGGGTTCCGGTCCTGCCTGCATCGTTTCCAGGGTAACGGGCTTATGGGATGCGGCGGACGTATGGGTGGGAGCTGCCTGCACCGTTTCCATGGTAACGGGGGCCTCGGGGGGGCGGGCTTCGGGGGCTGCGGCAGCCGATTGGTCGGGCTGTGCGGGCAGCGGGCATCCCTGGCGGCCAATTGGGGCGCAGGAGGGCTGGGCGGGGCGGGCGGCGGCGGCGGGGGGGGCTGCTGCTGCCATCACCACCACCACCACCACCCCCCCCATCTCCATCCCCGCGTCGGGGGGGGGGGACCCCGCCGCGAGCCCCCTCCCCGTTCGCCATCACCCCGGCCATGGCGTCCCGCATGGCCCAGTACGGGATGGGGGGGGCCCAGTACGGCATGGGGGGCGCGGGGGGGGCTCTTCCTCCTCCTCCTCCTCCTCTTCCTCCTCCCAGTATAGCGTGGGGGGGGTGTCCCAGTACAGCCTGAGCTCGGCCCAGTACAACACCGCCTTGTCCCAGTACGGCAGCGCCCAGTACCAGTACGCCATCAGCGCCCAGTACGCCCAGTACGCGCAGCTGGCGGCCTCCCAGTACCCCGCCAGCGCCAGCAGCAGCACCAATGAGGTGACCCCGTACACGGCCACGACCACCGCGGCGGGCGGCGGGGGGGCCGCGGGGGGGGACTCCCAGTACAGCACCAGCGCGGCCCAGTACGCGGCCAGCGCCGCCCAGTACGCGGCGTCGGGGGCCGCGGCCGCAGCGGGAGGGGGGGGCACGGACGCGGCCCAGTACGCAACTGGGAGCCAGTATGGGGGGCAGTGGGGGGATGTGGGGCAGGAGGCGGCGTGGGGCAGCTCCGGGGTCACCTGGGGGTCGTGGGTATCGCCTGCCCCATAGAGGGTCCCTGTTCCCTCCACCACCCACCCCCCCCCAACCCCCACCGCACATACGTGTGCGGCCCACACGTGACACGCGACACGCGTGTGGAAGGCGCGGAGGCCTCGGCGGCGCCCCTCCCCCCCCCCCACCGTGGGATCGGGCCCAGGTGAGGAGGAGGGGGGGGAGGGGGGGCTGCTATGGGGCACGGGTTGGGGGGGGGGGGGGGGTGTGGTAGTGCTATGGGGCACACTTAGGGTGCAGAGATGTAGGGGTCTGTGTTGTGTCAGTGGGGTGGATGTGTCGATTTAGGGGGTTGTTGCTTATGGGGTCCATAGGGAGGGAGGTATCTACGGGGTTCACGCTGGGCCCACTAAGGGGGCAGAGCTATAGGGCCCGTTGTTGTCTGGGTGGGGAGGGATCTGTGGGGCCCATGGGGTTCACGTTGGGCCCGCTTAGGGGGCAGAACTATAGGGCCCATTGTTACTTGCGGGGGGTGGGGGCGGGATATGTGGGGGCCACGGGGTTCACGTTTTGGCCCACTTAGGGGGCAGAACTATAGGGCCCATTGTTACTTGCTGGGGGTGGGGCGGGATATGTGGGGCCCATA